CATTCAGTAGAACAAATACTCCAGTTCCAATTATCGTATGTTCACTGTACTAAATATACCTTTTCAGAGTCACAGTTACAAATTTCATTATCAGCTGGGGAATACAAAAATACGTGGGTCAAGAGGCTTCTCATTGATATACAGCAAATTAAATTAGAGGTTGATTTTAATAATACAAAAAATGAGGCTACATTTGTGCAAGTGAATGTACGAGTGTACTTGTTTACTTCTCAGTTTTTCTTTAGGAGAAAATTGTACTAACTATAGACAAAGTACACAACGCAACTTAAGAAACTCATATACAAGCTTTCCTTCGCTTACTTAGACTGAGTTGATAATTAATTTCGTAAATAGGCAAATATTTTGTACATATGTATATACATACATACTTATCTGTGCCATGGAGAGAGACTACACTGCGAAAAACTTAATGGTAGTGCTAAATATGCAAGTAGAACAAATTTATAAAAAATGTTGGCAAATGAATGTGCTTATATTCAATTAACTAAAACGAAAAAGAAAGCGAGTTTATGAAAACTTTGTAAAAATTAGTACAACGGAGTTCTGTGTCGGCGATTCGTCAGAGGATGAGAGCTCAGGTCAGGAGAAAATGTTTAAGTGTAGTCTTTCGGAAAGCCCCCGACTGTCTAAAGAGGTGTTTGTAGACTTGTTGTCCAGCTGCAGCAATGCTCTCGAGCCAAGTCTATCTAAAATATTTTAAAACTATCAATAGCTCTACGATTTTGTTCTCAGAGATCGTGCCAACTGAGTATTGGGATTTTCTTTCATAAGTGAAACCAGCCTTTCGAGTTTGTGTTCAGGTATTCATGACGTTGGACCTGCATGAAATCAATAAAAATTTTTTGAAAATTAGTGTCTAGCCGCCAAAAGGTAAAAAACTCAACCCAAGATCATACATTTTTCAAAATTTCGCTACAGCATCGAAAGCAAAATTCTGTTTGACAGAAAATTCGATACTCATCGAAAATTTTGACACGGTCGCATAGCTAAGATGTGAATTTCACCTTCGATAACCAGGAAGATCGAAAATCGAATGCAACTCATAATAAGGGCCTTAATTTTTTGGTACACAAGTACAGTTACCACGGGATGATTTTTTTTAAATATTCGTAATGTTTTTCGAGATGATTTTTTTTTTTTAATCCGAATATTTAGAACATTTTTGGGTATGCAGTTTTATAGCCAAACCATTTAAGTCTAATCAAGTGCAAGTTTCAACCGACTAAAAAATCGCGTTGAGAATTTTTTGGAGACCGCCTTGGCGTTTTTTTTTATATAGCAAGTGCAATTTACAAAAACTGGCGTTGATTTTTTCTCCCCCATTGTTTCTCGCAAGAAATTCATTTTTATATGGAAAAAAGTGCAATAATCCGTCATTAAAAAAAAATCTCAAATATCAACGGGATTTTTAAGCCGTTTGAAACTCGCACTTGTTTACACTAAAATTGTATTGGCTAAAAACTGCGTACCCAAAAATGTTCTAAAGATTGAGATTTAGAAGTTTTGATAAAAAAATTTGTTAAATTGTCTTAAAATTTTAAATTTATATGATAAAGCTTGGATAATATTCTTATAGAAAAATAACGAAAATATTTAACTCAAAAACATTATGAATATTATGAATATATGTATTTATCAAATTTTCTTTTTTCTATATCGTTGTGTAGGTAAGTATTTATATACTTACATACATTTTCATATTCCGTACTAGTTTGCAGCTTTTCCCCATTTAGTTCCAATCTGCGCAATATTTCCCTCAGTGTACAATTTCAATTTCTCAAGCTGGAAGGCGATCGTCGGCGGTCTAATTCTTTGGCGAATTAAAAATATGCGTCAGTAGAGCAAGGAAAAATTGTGTGCTAAGCATTTAGTCGTAACTTAGCGTATCAACAGTTCAGAGCCTAAGCGAATCTTCAATTCGAACACGCACAGCATGAAACCGCTATTATGTAAGTAAAAAAAAATCGCCCGTTTTCAAAACTACAAATCAAAGCCAAAACTTTACCACAAAACATCTTTATAGTATTTGCCTTACTGGCCACGCTGGGTGCTAACCTCCCCTATACTTATACCGCCACTGTAAGTAGCCAAGGTGATGCAACTGAACGCAATCTCTTCGCATCCGATATCTATCAAGCCGTCGCGCTGGATCATTTGGCTGAAAATGTTGTTATCTCACCTGCAGCCATACAAACCGCTATGGCCTTGGCCTTCTACGGTGCCAAAGGCCGCACTGCGACAGAAATGCAGGCAGGCATTCGCCTCGGCTCAGCTAATTCTGATGATGTGGTACGTCGTTTTAGCGCCTTTCAAAATACTTTCACCCGCAGCAACAATCTACGTTTGTTCAACAAAATCTACATAAATGAAAATTTGGAGTTCAAAGCAAATTTTAGGGATGTCGCACGTCGCAGCTTTGACTCTGACCTCGAAACAGCCGATTTCCATCCGCCCTACAATAAGCGTACCGCTGAGCGTATCAACAAAGAGGTGGAGCAAAAGACTCTAAACAAAGTCACCAATATTCTACAGCCACAACAGTTGAACGATCTCACCGAGGGTGTGTTGGTGAATGGAATTGCGTACAGTGCGCCTTGGTTGAACGCTTTCAAGCCAGACAAGACTGAGCGACGCGAATTTTCGTCCGGCGGTCGACGTTCAGTGAATGTGGATATGATGTGGACGGTGAATAATTTCCGCTACGGTGAAGTGAATGAGCTGGATGCGAAGGTGATTGAGTTGCCGTACCAGAGTATTGAATACTCTATGCTTGTGCTTCTGCCAAACCAAATGAACGGTTTGTCCAGTCTGGTGCAGCGTTTGGTGGGCAAGAATTTGGTGGCGCTCGTAGATAGTCGATTGAACTCTCAGAAGGTGGAGGTGCGTCTACCGAAATTCGGTTTTGAATTTGGAGTTAAACTGGAAGAGCCATTCAGTAAGGTGAGTGAGAATACATATGAGCGCAATTTAAAGATAACAATACAGAAGGACTTATACAAAAAAACTTTGTTGTGTGAAATTATTCTTGCAGTAATCGTTGGTTTGAATTATCAAGAGTTCAGTTAACGTTTACAGTTACATATAATGTTTATGTTTTCAGCTCGGTGTGTCAACTATGTTTACTCGCCAAGGTGATTTCGGTCACATGTATCGCATGTTCGTCAGTCACTACATCAATAGCGCTAACCATAAAGCTTATGTGGAAGTAACAGAAGATGGTTCAGTGCCATCACTGGAATCTGGAGGTAGGTTTTATTTATTTAATAAATGAGTATTTTAATTCAACATACCGCAAACTTGCAGGTTTAAAGAGCTTTTTGACGTTCTCGCGTCCAAAATCTTTTGAAGTGGATCATCCATTTGTGTTTGCTATTAAACACGACGACTCAATTATTTTCCTAGGTCATGTCACCTATAATGTTTAATTTGGTAAGATGAGAAAGACAAAACTTAAATTTAAGAAGCGTACTTTGAAAGCCAATAAATAAATTTGACGTACAAATTTTCTTGGAATCTATCTATTTTAAACGTTCCTAATATCAAATGGCAGAGAAATGCCTTGTGGGTCGGAACAGAAATCAGAAAGCTGGCTAAGTACATATGTGATTTGCCTTTTTAGAGATAAAAGCTGAGTTATTTTTGGTCTTAAGGACTTCTCATGGAAGTTATTAGGATAAGTAAAATTTTTAAAACTTATTGTCAATGAAATTAAATTTGTTTTATTTTTTGTTTGTTTCGCTTTCCAATTGCCTTACGAAATTCGCCATACACAATTCTGGGAGCGAATTGCATCATTTATAGGTAATTCAGATCCAATTACCATGCGTACGATTCTCTGCCGTTTCTAATTTTAATCGGAATGTTATCGAGCTCAGCTGGCAGCGCAAGAGGTATAAAAAAAATCAAAACACAGAACGGAAAGAAACGAAGGGGAAAAACAATAGACTGTCAAACGAATTAAGAATTTGCAGTGTACACGGCGTAATTCATCACAGTACTTGAGAAGAAAATATCGTAATTGGAAGTGCCCGTGGGAACTTAGTTTTAGTTTGTTACAAACAAGGTATTTCATCCCCAAAATTGTGTAAGCCGAAATATAAAAAAATGAGCTCCTAAGGGGTTAGCGAAATACGAATACGAGGACAAATTATTATTAAAAAAACTATGGTGACAACGTTCTTTTATTGTAATAGTCTTCAGTGACAGTCAAGCTGCAATAAAGACTTAAAAAACCGATGAAATTCTTCAAAAATTATCCTGGTATGTATATAGTGACAAAACTTCGCTGTAAAATTAAATAAGCTTGAGCTTACATATATCAACATACCAGGGACCGTTATGATTTTTATGATGAAAATCATAATTTAATCGTAATTATGTGATTCTTATTTTTTTGGTCATCTCTAATCGTTTTTTTTTATTTGTTTTTTTTTTATAATTTTTGACCGTTGTCTTAGAGACTGCAATTTTATAACCGATTTAAATTTGGTATGATCTAAAAAATTAAATCTGAAAATAACGGCTACAATATGATCGAAAAAATAAGAATCATAAATAAAGATGAAGAACGATCGGTAAATTAAAAATCCAAGAATAACGATTATGCAATGATTAAAAAAAATCGCTAATTTTCGATTGCTGAAACATACAAGCACATATGTATATGCATATGTATGTGAGTACCAGGACACTGTGGTATTCATAGTAGCGAACTGGATTACGGGCTAGCAAAGTGAGGCTGTTTGAAGCATCGAAGTGGACCAGAGCCAGTTAAGGGTCAAGTGCAGCTGGGACTGTAAAGTTTACTAAGAATCTCTGTTGCAGTACTAACACATGCAAAATAACCGAGTGTTTTCTGAAATGTTTAGACGGGGAGGTGGCCAAGGTGAACTGAGTTAGGGTGAGTTGAGATGAGTTGAAGTGTGGTGAGTTTAGGTGAAGTGAGGCGTTTTAAGTTTTTCGATCTGCCAAAAAAAAAACTCAAAAGTAAATTTTTATTTTTGAGAGAAAAAATAACGCTCAATAAATGAAGAACAAATATGTGAACAAACAAAATTCGGTTTTATTTGTTTTTTTTTTTTTATTTTTAGGCTTTGACCACTTAGCTAATAGCTAAATTGTGTGTGTGTGTGTGTGTTAGTTGCTCATTAAAATTTGGCATACAGGTGGGCTACTTATAGCCTGGATTAACTTATCGCGTTTTCAAAAGTTTAAATCCATTAATAAATACGTTAAATAAAATATTGCAACAATGTGGGTCCCAAATATGTACAAGAAGTTCAAAAACAATTTATTTTGAAAATGGGTTCGAATTTTATTTTAGAAATTCAAACTCAATTTAATTAAAAAGTTGAATTGAATATTGTAATTTGGTTAAGTAACCTGTATATCTAAAATATTTTCAAAAGGGTTTCCATTCTTTATTATAAAAGGTGCTCTTAAGCACATTTCCAGTTTAAAGTTATTGCTGGCATTTCAAATAAATTTTGGACATTGGTGTAATCAGAGGCTTAAAGTAAATTTAATAGCAAATAGTGGTTTTAAACATATTAACCCGTTATATCCCTCATGTTATATGTATATTTTTTTCCTTTTCTCATTACAATTTTGTTAATGGAATTTATTCTTAAACTACTAGCCTTACGAAAAAAGTAGGCTATACAAATTTAATGACCACACATTTTAAAATAGAGGCCGTTAAAGATATGTTCGCCAAAAAATCAATAATTGTGCCCAGCGTAACATTTCCAACGGCACATGTGTCGACGGGAACTTTTGGTTTGCTGTTCAGAACTAAAATTAAAAGATTCATGCAAAAGTCAAACGTTTCGGGAACTTTTCCAAAGTTTTAATTTTTTTGCCGAAATTTTATTTACTAATACTCTCTGGTTTATTGTTTTAAGCGTATAATTAGGTCGTTAAGCTCTTAAAGCTAATGAGGACTTACCTTTCTAGCTCCAAAGTTTTTTGCGGTCTGTTATCCATTGTTGAGTATATATGTATGTATGTTGATGTATCAAGGAATGCAATAAATGTTTGCCGATGAAATTCAAATCAAATTATGTATTTTTTTAATAAAAACACTCCACTTTAATGTAATATTTAGTTTTTTGCAATCTTCACTGTATGCTATATTTTTTACTTTTAGTGTACATACATATATATGTATGTATAATGAATCACTTCAATCATTAGATCACTTTTATAGCACTACACAATTGTAATAAAAGATAAAATTGCTTAAAATTCTCTTATTCGCCGGATTTGCTTATTCAACAGATTTGCAATGCAAAATTATGTCACACCATTGACACATTTCCATGCACAAATATATGGGTATAATAAACCTAATGACTTCAATGGAATTATATATAACAGTTTCGTAGGTAAATATTTCTGTATGTATGCTTGTAGGTAGGTTTATATGTAGTTTTGTGACCCATAATTTATAATTTCGGCACACATACACTTTATAATACCAAGTGATTTGTAGCACTTTTTTGCCAACCCAATATTTTTTTTCAATTCTTGTTGCTAACTATTTCTGCACTGATTGAGATTTCTCGGATTAAGGTGTTTGTTTCTTTCGTAATTAAAAATTGAATTTATATGAGTTTTTCATATTTGCTTTTTGAGTTTCCGAAAATTGTTGCTGGACTTCTTTGTAATTTTTCGCTGGCTTATTGCCGATTATAATCAACTGACGTAAATCACAAATTATGTGCGACCAACGAATGCGAATGCGCACCGCCAATTCGACGGATATCAGCTTCACCCTCACCGCCACTATTAGCTAAAGTTGTTCCAGCAGTGGTATTGCAGTGTTGTTGCCGGAGTTGCCTTCAACATTGTTTGTGACGGTGAGAGAGTTTAGCGTGCCGATCGACCCACTGTGACGGATTGTAGACTTTTAACTTTATTATATACATACATATTTAGTGCTGTTTCATTTTATTACCGGTATATGCACAACAATTTTAAATAGTTAGATGCATACTATAGTACATATTTTCTTATTTATGATTTTTGAATTTTTTCACACCAATTTGATAATTAAAGTAGAAATTCAGAGAATTGCATTGAAACTATGTTTGGTAGTACACCGATAAAACTACATATTTGCAATTTTCAACTTTTGTCTGTGCGTTATAACGCGTTATGAGTATGAGTCAGCTTCGTAATTTTTTCATAACAAAATATTTTAATTCAAGTTATGTGGTTAAAATTCAGAATTGGCTGCATAATATTTCAGCAATTTGATTTGTAATACTGATCCCAAAGTTTCCGTAGATATTTATTGTCTGATTGCCTATAGAATTATAAAATTTCCCTCAATTGAGTCTTTCGAGTATGGGAACCATGGGGCAAGTAAATTCGGTCTTTCAGGCCGAGGTTCACGAAATTGAACTATGTCTGGCAACCAAAAAACACATCTACATACACTCGGACAGCAGAGCAGCGCTCCTCGCTCTTAAGGCGCACAAGGTCACCTCAAAGCTGGTGTGGAACTGTCTTCTGTTTTTAATACTTATCGCCGCCAGGAACCGGGTATACCTGATTTGGGTACCGGGACACAGTGGGTTAATGGGCAATGAAGTGGCAGATATGCTCGCCAGAAAGGGCCCTGTACAAGGATAGGCCCTGGACTCTTTACCGGTCTGCTATACAGCTCCGTTAGGCGAAACAACTACATCTGTATATAAATTTTTGAATTTTAGGGATTAAAAGCGAAAAGGCAATATGATGTATACCTAATGGGACCAACCGCACTTCTTTCGGAAGTACAGTAATTGTTTTCGAACTTCTCTAACTCGCAAAAGAAGTTTGATATAATCCCACATTTATTTAAAACAGTTCGTCAGCAATAATTTTCTTAAGGTTTCCAGCATTTTAAAATCATAGTATATATGTATGTAAAACTGAAAATAAAAAAATAAATTGTTCAAAAAAATAGTCCCTCCCGAAAAGGAGGCTTCACGGTTATTCAAAATGTTCTTAATTTTGTTTATAATTAGTAAGTATTGAAGTGTTTTCATCTTTTTCATCTATAGAAAAAACGCTAAATTAAAAAATTATTTACATATTATTCAATAAAAAAAAAGCGGAAAAATCATAAAGTAATTCAAAAACCATTATACATATCTTGTTTAAAATACATAAGTTCATTTTAGGTTTGGAACCACTTTGCGCCCGCTCTATGGAATTCTTTCCCAGATCCAGCATATTTTCTATTAAATTCATCTGAAAAGTTCTAAAGTTAGTGAAAATTAATTATGCATTATTGTTTACTCCTAAATGCATTTGCAACTTCCATAACGTCAACAGCTGTTTGTGCGGTTTACCTTTTCAGGAATATTCGGAAACGACGATCAGTTTCTTCATAATTGAAAACTTATTTTTCAAATCACAGACAAAATAAAAAAAGATAACCGAAAAAACATTTTGACTCCTTTCTCACTACATAATCGGAGTGTTCCGAAAACGCCCTTTCATGTGTTGCGTGGACCATGAGCTATGAAATAGTTGGTCACATTATGTATACCCGTTACCCAGATTCGGATGTGACGCAAGCTTGTGGCGACTTTTGAAATATAGAAAAAATCGCAATTTTTAAATAGTTGAGCCAGTCAGATTTTCATTCAAACCATTCAATTCGATGACTTAAGTAATCCATAGTGATTATTTAGAGATTTTTTCTTAATCTGACGGTTAAAAACTCTTTCGTTAATCTTTACGCTTATATTGTTAAATGTAACAATTTTATAAACAAAAAGTTTTTTTTTGTAATTTTTTCCGATTATATTTTCTTCGTTATCTTGAATTACTTGAATTAACCCAACATATCTGAATTTTGTGCCGATTAGTTGGCGATCGCTATAAGAAAAAACGTTTTTTTTTTTCCTTGGCTTTGATATTAGTCGGAATCTGCGCTCGATCGCAGGCCGCCATTCCATCAATTATGACACTAAATAATCCTTAATCACAGCTCTATAGTGCTTTCCGTTGATGACAACTTTCTCGCCGTTCTCCAAACAAAACGCAATCGATAGAAGCGTTGCCTTATCTTACCAATTTGTGACCGTTTATTGGTATGGGAAAGTGGAACCTCTAATAAAATACACTTTAAATATTCTCAAAGCTTCGGTAACCAATATGTATATTCGTACTCTTGATACAAAATTTAACAGTATTGAAAACACCTAAGAACAAATGCGGAAGGTTACCGTTGTACTTTAAAGCTGCAAGGGAAAAATCAGCCAAAAATGGGGTCTCCCCCGAAACTAGTACACTGGCTATATACCATCGTTTTTCATCATACTTCTCTATGGATTAGTGGTTAGGGAATAAATGTATTACTGGTGCTCTCCGTACTACCTACTGAAGCAATGGATACGTTCTAAACATCAAAGCATAGAAATTATGGGGATGCAATATGCTGCAAGTGCAGCCTTAAGGCTACAGAATCTAAAAAGCTGGAAATCGGCTCGATGTGGTCACACTGCGGACTACTGTGTACCAATAGTCACAGCAGAGAATCGTGTTCCAAATCAGTTCTGGGATCTGCAGATATCGTCAGAGTCTACACGGAAAATTAGAAAACAGAGGAGAAGTCTTTCCGTCTACCTAACCAAGCCGAATTGGTGCCCATAAAAGAAGCCGTTGACAGCCTGAATCTAGCTATCGTCGCTACTAAAAAATACTACTAGTAGTATACCCTGCACTTGATACACTTCGAAATACCTCAAAATTTTATAAACTAAAAGATATCCAGACGGACCTTAAAGCGCTTAATCCTGAGACGATAACTTCTTGAAACAGTTGCTAGGTGCCGCAAACCACTTAACGTGCAGTTTACTTTGCTCCTGCTAAGGGTATCGGGGCACACTGACCTACCACTAAATGAGAAGGCAGAGGAGCTTGCGATAGGGGGTACTTCTATTTCAGTTTCACCTGCCTGGAAGAGGATGGGTATGCCGCTCGCTTTTTACAAACTAAAACTAAGGAAAAATTTCCTTTAAGAAGCGGATACAAGATGGGAACGTACTGACTACTGCAATACAACGAAGCTTATTCTCACTTTCAATAGATGTGATATGTTATTGGCCTTTGGGCCACTCAGAGGACATATGTACATATCTTAGGTAGTAGTCTAAACACAGCTTAAAAAATTGGAATTTAGTCAAACCTGTTTTTCTGCGCTGTTTTTCTATGCGGTTTTTTGTGCCAGTTTTTATGTGCTTTGTTTTATGTGATCCTACTTTTGTGCGGCATATTAATACCGAAACCTTCAGTTTAAACGGTGTTGGCATCATTCTTGTTTTCATTGGATCTTTGTACATACATACATACATACACATACGTTGCATCAGCCAATTTCAATACATATTGCACTAGCTGTTAAGTTAGGAAATTATGGACCGTTTAAGTGCGAAGTTTTTAGAGTAAATTTATATTTTAAATTAAAATTTAAAATTTTGTTTAATGCTTCTTTTTACACATCGCTTTTCGTAAGTTTTTTTCTGTATTTTATACTTAAGTGGAATTTTTTATGTAATCTTTTTTAAAATAAGAAATTTTATTTTTTTACAATGAAATGTATAGTTTAATTATTCATTATTTTGGAGAACTTTTATCGCTATTTCATAACGCTTTTACTTTTTGTATGCGATCGCCCGCCATCGTACCAAAAATTGTTTCTTCAAAAATTTGTGCAAAATCACCGCTTTTAGCTATTATTGATTTTTTTTAAAGCTTTTTTTTTTTGTGCAGTCCCTATCTATCGCACAAAAACAGGTGTACGGCAATTGCTAAGGTTCGTAGAATCCACGAATTCGTTTTTAAACCAAGTGGTATCACAATGGGCCCCTGACTGGGCCTAAAAGTGTTGGCCTCTTCTAAGTTCAGCAGTAATTTCGACCTAGCCTAACTTACCCTATTACCAGTATAAAATGAACCCAATTATTTTGGGACTACATGAAATAATAATCGGATGATGAAAAAAGATTATACTCTTATGATCTAATAAGATCGAGCCAAACAGCGGAAGAGCGTACGATCATGAGCGCAAAGGACGGGCCTATAACAGAAAGAGTTGACGCTGTTAGCACAACTTGTTAGATATTCGGTGGAGCTTTTGCTCTAACTCAAGACCAATTGATTTAGAGGCCTCAATTTCGTATTGATTACTCAAGATTTCGAGTCCAACAATCTATCCTCCATGCCTTAGTTACAAATTTCTTAACAAAAAACTTTAATTATTTTTTTTTTTCATTTTCCGTCATTGGTTTATAAATTATTTTTCTGAAAATAAATGCGCGCCACAAAATGCTACCAAGCAAGTTGAACAGCACTCAAAGTACATATAAAAAATGTACTGCATATTTGTTTTTATTTTTATTTATTATTTTTTTTACATTATTATCGGCATTTCTTTTCAACGCTGCAATTCTTGTGTGCGATTCTGTTTTTAGTTTTTTTTTAGTACTGCTGTTTTAGCGTTTCAAGCCTATAATGAGGCAGGCTGTTGCTTTTTAAGTAGCTTGCGTTGCCGTTGGACTTTTCGTTAGCTGCTGCCTGTTGCCGATTGCCGCTTGTTGGCTGGCTGCTGGGGCACGTTGATGCAGTTAGGACACTGGAACGAACGGTTGCATTTACTGGGGTTTGGGCAAATGACGGTTTATTATTGTCGTCGGAGTCGATGTTGGTAGTGCAGTGCAAGTCAACACGCAAGCGCAAACTTCGCACTCGTGCAAAAAAAAGGCAGATATACATACTTACAAACATGTATACGTATTATGTACCTACATATATACTTATGTATGTTTTTATGTATAAACTTTCAGGAAGGTAAACGAGTATAACTGCAGCCTTATTTGTTCGTGTGTGCATTTGCGCATATCGAAAGGGATCTCGCTGGTTCGGCCGGCGCGCGCATTGCCGCAACTGCAAAATGTTTTGCCTTTTGCGCATGCAACAATAGTAGCAGTAGAAACAACCGACAGCTGCGTCCTTTGTCTTTACCGCCATCCCTAAATTGGCTAGTCAAGCGCCAAGCAACTGTCAAAAATCCTCATGCCCATACAATTTTTATGAAGCATCCCACAATAACGCGGTGCTAACGCCGAGCATATGAAATTTTCATTTTTGACAGGGTGTTACGTGTTGAAGTTGGATGCATAAGACGGAAAGAAAGAGAAAGGACAACAAAAGTAAAGAGGAGACGAGAGGACCTGAGAAAACGTCAAAAATTACGCCGCGTTGATTTGGGGATAGCGCGCGCTGACACTCGTTGAAAATGGAAAACGCAACGCTTAGCGCCCCAATTTAGGGACGGCAGTTACTTGACGGCGAATTGATCTCTGCACCAGCGCAAAGATATGCAATTGCTATGGAGTGCGCACAATTTTTTAGCGATTTGCGGAAACAACCTTTTTATACCGAATAACACAATATTTTTCTTCGATGTAATTTTTTTTTTGTTATTTATACTTGAGTAGCACATCTTTACACTTTGTAATTTTTGCTTTTGAATTCAAGCTATGGTTTTGTTCACAATTTTTGCGCAACACACTCCCCAATCACGGTTTGTCAACATTCTCCTCGCGTACATCGTGAACCCTTTTTCCACTCGGATCCCCCCCAACTTTGCGGGTCAGGGCATTGAAGTGCGCGCGCGTAAGATGGGTCTTTCACCAAACTGTAGCTTTCTGTAATATAACTGAATTAATTGAACAAGTAGATCTTTCACTCAACTGCACTTTTATCGACGTAAAAATACGAACACGAGCTGAAAATAAAGTTCAAATGAATGCGACAATCCGCGCTACGCAACCGCCAGTGACGCGATGTTGTAGTGTTATGTGCAGCAATTCATTCCCTGCAAACACCAAACTGTTGTTGGCTGCTTGTTGCTCCTGCTTCAACGTCAACGTCAACTACCACTTCTATCGCTGCTGCTGACTACTTGCCTCTACGTTGGCACTACGTGGTCACGTTCTTCGGCAGCTGCTACTGCGCTGCTCGCGCAAGCGAAATGAACGTGATGAACTCCAGGTAGCGGTGAACGCGTCAGAAAGTCAACAACGGACTGTAAACAAAAATCAATTTGAATTGTGAGCGCTTGGAGTCGACTCAGCGCCAATTGGATCAGTCGAGACTCTCCCCGAGTCGAGAGTACCCCGAGAGCGATTGTGGATATCGTAATTTAATTTTTTCTCTTTAAGAGAGCTGCACAGGTATGGACATTCACCTACTCAAATACAAAACTTACCTACGGTCAGTGATGCCAGATTGTGGGTAGTTTCCCTATAAGTACGGTGACCATATTTATGAGAGGAATCTTTTCAATTGTAACTGGTGTGTAATGTAAAATGCATAACAAATTATCTGATGATATGTTAAATAGTACACTTATTTATATAAAATATCGGTTGCTTGTGAATCAAAAAAAGTCAAGTGCTTCAACTTTGAAATCACCAAAAATCATATTCGCTTAGACAATGCAAAATATTTGTAACAGTGATAATTTGAAGATTTGTCGGTAAGTATTCAACACTAAACAAAACACCAATGCACATATATATTAGGGTGCCCATGGAAAATACTTTTTTAGGAAATTTCAAGACCCTTATTTTATTAGTTTTTTTGAGAAATATTATTGCTTATTTTTATAGATTTTTTAAAGGTCATTAAGAGGTCGCGACCTGTCAACTTAGGCTAGAAAATATGATTTTGTAGATTTATGAGTTTTTGAATGACTATTTTTGCCTCGATTTCAAAGATCGAATATGATCTGAGAAGAGGATATATAGGCCTTTAAAATGGTATATAATATTTTATTGTCGAACTAGGCTTGATGGGATTTTTTTTCGGGGAGATTCAAGAAAGACCCATATTTCTCTGATGTTTTTAATTGTGACCATCGATAATTTCTATAATTTCAAAAGATAGAGTACTATCTAAAATTAAATCTATTTCTAAATAAACTGATACTTCATTTATTGTAATCGCATAAAAATTGTCGAATTTAGGCGACCTGTCTTAACTACGGTCTTGAATTTATATTTGTGTATGTACCGGAATTTCAGATTTTTTGAGCAGTGTGGCTGAAGTGTTCATCAATATGTATCCAAAATTTATATACATAATCGCTCTTTAGCAAGAAAGGTGTTTTGAAGAAATTTTAGGAAAATCGCACCGCCCACTTATATGATAGGCGTATCTCAAAAACTACTTGACCGATCTCCAGCTTAGCCGTCTTAAGTACCGTCTTGAACTCAGTTTGTATGTATGCCATGCTCCCTTGATATATCGAAATAACTTTTCCTTTAATATCGTCTTTGAAGATTCTGGAGGCAATTTTCAAGATTTCAAAAATATCGGTACAGCTGTTCTCAAGTTTTTCAAACAGAAATAAACGGCTTTCAAAATATCTATTAGTATAGATAACAAATTATATACATTTTTTAATTAAATGTATCGTACGGAAAAATGTTTATGGATAGTTTTTTAAATAATTGCAGGCATTTGAAATTAATTTCAAGTATTTTAAAAACAATGGCCACGGATAGCTCGACACAAAACTTAATTATCTTTTATTAAAAAAAATTAAATCGGTTCATTATTCGGCTCTCAAAATTGATGTGTCCACAGAAACTTTTTTTCCCCCACTGTGCACCGTGCGAAAGTCCATTTTACATGCAAACAAATCAATATATTCGCGAAACTGGAGCTAGCTGCTATTCCTGTTCAACCTTTGATCTTAGCATTACAGCGTTCATTGGAGAAAAGACTCCGTAGCCAACCCTGTTGTCTAGCTTGGATCTATTCGTGTAAAAATTTATTTGTCCCCTTCTCCATGGTATTGGTATTAGCCCCTCTTTTCTTGACCGGATGTTCGTCTTGAAGAGCCTATCGAAGGTGGGTTTAGGGGCGGAGTAGTCGATGGAGTGCAATGGGGTATAGTCGTTGTGCTGTATATGCAGTTACAGTTGCACAGCTATACTCAATCCCGACTCTTACGTCCTTGTTCGCGCCTTCTGGGCAACGTGTGCGATATGCGGTAAAAAATCCGCGGGGAGCCATTTATCACGGCAGAAAGAGAGGGAGCTTCGGTGGGGCCAATCCGAATTATTCGGTTTAAGGGCTCACTGAAGTCTGCAGCATCTGTTCACCAGTAGGTGCGGCTGCAAGCGGGTGTCTGTCTTGGAGCAATCGGCTCGCTATATAAACGTGTATTTGGTTGTGAAACCACCCCCGTCCCAGAAATGGGTTGTGCGGTGGGTTTAGGACGCGCCACGCAAAAACTCATTCCAGTGAAGAAGCGCACAATGCCTCGAATGAGAGCCCCCCTTATTACGACGACCACGGCAAATATTTAAAGGAATACGATTTGAGGGCATGCACCTGTAATGTCCGGACCCTTAATGGGGAAGGTGCCTCTTCCCGGCTGGTTGATGCCCTCGTAAGAACAAACGCTGACATCATACTACAGCTCCCATGTAAGGTAAAGTGGTCCAAAAATGTATGTGAAAAAATAAAGTCGGATTTTTAATGCCGCCACACCCTAGGATTGTTCCATACCGAAAACAAATATACCCCTATTTTTTTATTTTGAAATAAAAAAATATTTAGGGAGTGCTCACAGCGCTCAAAGTTTTCCATGTATTTTATATGGGGCAAAACAACTTTTCTTAGAAATGGTGTAAAATTCTTGAAAATCAATATTTTTCGATCGAAAAAGTTTTGCTAATCTTCAGGAGGTTCTCAGTAATAATAACCAATTGTTTCTTTAACCATTTTTCATGGTAACTATATTTTATAGGTCCTCCAAAACTCCTAGAAAATGCAATGGGGGGACCAATAAAAAATCTTTAATATCAAAAAATGGTTAAACAAACAATTGGATATTAATATTGGAAGTCTCCTGAGGAGAACCACAGTTTTCCGTTCGAAAAATATTGATATTCAAGAATTTTACACCATTTCTACGAAAAGTTGATTTTTCCCATATAAAATACATGGACAACTTTGAACGCTGTGAGCAATCCCTAAATATTTTTTGATTTCAAAATAAAAAATATGGGTATATTTGTTTTCGGTATGGAACAATACTAGGGGGTGGCGGCATTAAAATTCCGACTTTATTGTTTTTGCACCACTCTAATGTAAGGGAGCGCAAATTCGGTTACGTCCTCTGCCCGTATTACGGCAAATGTCTCACTTTGCTTTTCAGTTCCCTATGACGATCCCACACAGCCCACGTTGCGCCCGATCGCATCGTAGCCCTGTAGGCGGCATCTTTTTTCTCTGCAGCTTCATGACCTTCCTCATCGTACTAGTTCTTCTTTTCGGCTCGCTGTAATCCGGAGTTACGAAACGAGCGGGAAATGTGGTGCCACTGCTCGTATAAGTCGGTCTGTTTCGAAGTGCTGACAGGTGTGTCAGTCGAGCGACGGATACGCTGCCAGATTATTGTGGCTACAGCTTTTGTTAGCCTGTGTTGGGGTTAATTCATTTTTGGAAAGTTTTTATCACATGCTATTAAAAATTTTTGTTCCATCTGATAGCTGTCCCACTAAATATTTCTAAAAAGTAAATGCAGGTCCTTCTCTAGTTGGTACTTCTATTTTGTTCATTGTCCATCCATCCATAAAGGACTTAAAAAGCGGTCCTATTTGTCGAAAGGGGGCTCTGTTTTTAAATTGCGTGTAGCATTGCCAAATATGGCATTTCGTCGCTCGAATAAAGAAACAGTGTAAATGCCACATACACTATTATTCGATAATTGCACCATTGGATAGACAATCCTTTAATCTATTAGAAAAATCTTTAGTTTTCTTAAATATATCTTTGGCTCACTAATTTATTCCCGAAAAACGAAATTGTATTTGTATGATTTGTAATGGTTTATAAAAACTTTCAATTCGTTTTTCTCAAAACTATACTTTTCATGTTACACTATTTCATTATTCCAGCGACGATTTAAGCGAGGGTTTCATGGGTTTTCGGAATTCGTCCCAGAAATAAACAGAAAATAACAGGGAACCGAATTGTCCGATTAACGGCTAGTTTTTTTCTATATTGTTTGTACGGCCTTTGTTAATAATGCCTAAATTCTGTGGAATTTGTCGAACAATCAGTACAGCTTATTAAATCAGACGACATTGGGATTACAAGACTTGAATTGACTTCGAAAACCGCGCCGTCAACAGGTCGTTTTCAATATGCTTGAACATCCGTGTTAAAATCCAACTTTCAAGGAACAGATTGTTACTATTGAATATAAGTAAGTATATATATGAATAAAATATAAAACGAAACCGAAAACCCGGGCAAAGCAGCACGAAATTTAAGTTTGGGTTGATCGTTTTCTTCGATATTTGCTGTTTTGTGAATCATTAATTAAATCCGGATGGACAGACAGTAAATGAAGAGTATTGCAGAATAGACATACTGCATACTGGCCTTAAAAAAGAGAACGGGAAATGGAATGAAAATTATGGCAACCCTTAAAGCATATATACTTTTTTACTCAAACTACTGAGAGCTACTAAGCTATTAAGAAGTATCTCAGAAATACTGGTTTTAATTTCTGGTAAGCTCGGTTGTATTTATACATACATACACAGTTTTGAGTTTATCTCATACCAGTTTTTATGAGTGGTAAGTATTTTATTTAAAACACACGAAACGTATGCTGCTACAGAGCGCAAGCGCCACTAAATACACTCAGCCACAGGTAGAAATAAACTTATTTAACTTGTTACATGCTTCTTCTTCCATTTGCTGTTTTAATTTGTTTTTATTTTAACTTTTAATTTGAAACCCCAACGCCGCGTACGTGCCACTGTGACAGGTGTGGAACGTGTAAAATATTTTATTGATTTTTATTTGCTCATTTAAACAATCAACATGCGGACCGTTGATAATAATTTCATACTCGAGCCGGCCGTTAAGGCAAAAATCGCATAATTTCTGGGTCAAGTAATAAAATTGGTAGAAAAAGTATTCCTATTTTTTTAAGCAAGATATACTTTTGTAAGTTTGGTTTTTTCTTGGAGCTCAGATCTCTAAAAATGAAAGAAGTATACATACCACATACATACATCAAAAAAGTCAACTGATTTATTAATATTCGAGAAGTGTGCGTTTATAGTAAATCGGACAAGGTGAGTGCAGTGCGGCAAAAATAAAATACTTTAATAGATACATAAATGAAGTCCAAACAAAAGAGTACCAACGTCTTTTTTGTATTCAACCATTTAATAAGTTTGTACTTTACTTACTTATTTAGCGATAATCGAGATGCAATTTTATTTGAAATACATACATAGTATGTATATGGTCGTTTAAAATAAACAAATGCAAGTTTGATTAATTCTAACAGTCAGTTTAATGAATTTCTTAAGCTTAGCCGAGCTTTAGCTGTGCCTCCGAATGGCAGTTAGTTCTTTATAGGATATTTTTCTTCATGACCGAAAAATACTTTCAACATTTTTCTGCTGAATGTATGGGGTCTGATGTCAGTAGCGCCCTTCTTATTACAAGGGTGTTGACGTGGATACTACGAAACTTGCTTGCCAAATTTTTTTTTGATATTGCCTAAAATAATTTTTTTCCTCCGATAGCTGACCTACATTCGATTATGCACCTTTTTCGAAACCCGGGTGTCGAGTATCTCGAACAATTGTACATTGAAAGAAAACGGTTTCGTAATTTCAAACTAAGAAAAACCGTATAAACCGGTTTTATTTTACATATTTTCTCTACAATAGCACCTACCGTTAGTCAGAAATAATATCCAAAATTACAATGCGACGGCTGAAAAAGGATAACTTTATTTTACAAATAAATAAAACAAAACAAGTTCGAAGTATTCTGGCATACAAGTAAAGCAGAAAGAATTAGTGAAAAAACACACTTAATGAGGTTCACCGATCTTAACATGATTAGATCGTTAAACCAACAGCCGTTTATTCGCGAAAAACTCGTGCATGTAGTATGGAAAAACCAAAATTAAATTTTTGGTTGATTATGATGCATTTCATCTAACTATGAGTCAAAACATTATTTTATGTTGTATTTTAGCGACGATGTGAGTTACATCATTTTCTAAAGATATACATACATACATACATATTTCGAGAAAAAGTAAAAAAAAAAAACAAATTACTCTAAAAATGTATGTTTTTCGTATAACACTACGTAATTAATTATCTGAAATAAAACAACTGTTGTATTAATGTTATGTATATTTAATCAGTTTATTTAAATTTCATATTCATTATCATCATCATCACTTTATTCACCGTTTTCAGGTTTCAGGGGTTGTAGAAATTCCCCGCATAGTTAATTTAAAAAAAAATTAAATGGGTTTAAGTCATTTAACTTACAAAACTTCACAAAATAAATTTCGCTAAATAGCAACTAAAATATTTTTTTACTTCTATGATATTGGGACATCGGATGCTTCACATTCCTCCACAAACCTTCGATAGTATTTGAACACAAATATTCCCCCTCTTTCGGAATCAATTCCCAGTCTACCAATTGTCGCAAAATGTTTGCATTTACCGCCCTATTCCCGCAACACTGACAAAATTCATCATATGACTATTGTCACAATTACTGCGCCTAAAACACAATATAAACATTGTTTCGCCGTTGTCACTTACTCAGTAGGTCATAACAATAAAACTGACAATTGTCATACGACAGCTTATAATAAATTTGCGGAATAGTATTAGGCGCAGTAGTCAAGGCAATAGTCAGCCGCTGAGTTTTGTCAGTGGTGTGGGAATAGGGCGGTTAATTTAGCTTCATTGGCACAAATAAATAGCTTGCAGATTTTACGCAAGTTATACGAAGATGACATTAGTTGTGTTGTTCACGAATTATCCAGTAACTTGCCAGCAACTCTCTCATTCGCTCTCATAGAAAGAATATCCGAAAAGTACGCGAACGCAAATCCAGTAATAATTTGCAAGTTTCACGAAAAGCTGATAAATTAGTTCTTTATTCGCAGCAAATTCTTAATAAAACAATACACATATTTTATATTTAAATAGGTTTATTTTGTCAACTTCAACAGTAAAAATCCACAGACAGTTTTCTTATTACATAGTTTAAATTGCATCCAGCAACATGCGATCAGCTGTTTCTCTACTGGTAAATTGTTACAAGTACAAATTTATCCAGTAAAAATACGGTAAAAACTTGCAACTTCAGCTGTCATTTTCGCGCACAAATGGCACAAATGTCAGTTACGAGGTTTTGTACTTTAAACGACGACGAACGACTTTTGAGCTCGCGCCTTTTTTCGTCTCTAGTGACGAAATATTTCGTTCATGGCGGCTTTCTCGAATGTAGTTAGTAGAATGTTAAGTACGATTTTATGCTTTAATGGCATTATTATATTTTAAAATAAAAAAACTCAATTTTAGCTTGTGACGGGTGGGACAACATTTTGTGACCGCTCATCAGTAAAATTAACGCTACTAGCTTGATGTGAATATTTATTATAGTTTTAATAATAGGACCTTATTTGAATAATGGAAAACTTGAGAATTTGTATGTTACGTTAAAAAATACATATTTTGTTGTGACGGGTGGGACATCCAATATGCATTTTTTTAACGCTTATAACTTCTCAACATAAAGTATTTTTCTAATAACTTACCACCATTTTAAATTTCATGAATGGTTCTCTCTTTTTCGATAATTATTCTTTGCATTGTCACTTTTAGTATATGAGTAATGCCCTGAAAACTTGACGCAAAAATATTCTTACAGATTTAAACACAATTTGCATAATAAAATTTTTACCTGAGGTGTCGTCTTCGCAGGAATGGCCCTATAGTTAATTACGTATTTTTTTACGAAAAACATAAATTTTTATAAACAAATTGCCATAATTACGTTTTGTTACGTTTTCTCCAAGCATGTATACATTTTATATATAAAAACATACATATATCAAATGAAAGGCTCTTCAATTACCTCTCCAACTATGTCTAAATCGGATCAATGGTTTTCGAAATATAAGCTTTACCCTTGTTAAATTGGACCCAAAAAAACGGCCCCTGGTTAAAAGACAACATCCAATTTACTTAAAAGCAAATACTACACTGTGAAACAAATTTCAGAAAGTTGGAACAGAATTTGATTTAGCTGGTCAAATAATGAAAAAGTCCCAAAGGATTTGAAAAAGAGGGTTTCCATTTCTTTTTTTTTTATCTCAATTTGAAGTTAACGAAATAAAGTCCCAATGAGAACATATAATTTAAAACACATCTTCCAAAGTTAACAGAGCGGGAAAGAGAGGACATTTGAAGAAAAATATTTTATTATACATGTTTATTTTTGAACCTTAAAGGGCTAACTATAATATGAATAAGCTGCCGTAACTGACTGTCAGAAAATGAACGAAATGTCTGTCAAATGCATAAGCAACGTAGTGCATACTTTTAGGTGGCTATATTTTACTTACATGAGTACAGTGTTGCCACATTTATTAGATATAACAATAGCCACTATCAAGCACTTTGTTGTAGATCACACAATTATAGTAACCTAGAAACACCGAAGAACTGTTCGCCTTGCGAAACTTTCAGGATAACCTGGTGTTTCTGTAAAAGGAAACGCTTACGGCCCACTTCCTAATGTGGAACCAGAACTTCTTTTGACCTGTGTTACATGTAGGACTGAATCGAAAAAGTTATCAAGAACAAGTTACAAAATTACCAAATATGATAAATAAAGAAAAAAATTACCAATTTCGGTAAAAAATCCAATACGGCAACACTGCATGTGTTACATACGTACATTAGACTGCATCACTCCCCATACAAAAAAAATCGCTACTATTTTTCCATTGGAATTATAAAATCTATTATATTTTAAAACGTCCACCAAAATATTTCGGAAAAATATTAAGATTTAAGTGAGCTGGACCGACTTGAAAATACCTCCAAAAATTGAGTTTTTTATGAATAAAAATAGTTTCTTAAAGATTTTTTTTTTGAAAAAATCCCCTAAAATGACCAAACGGCTTAAGCTTAAAAAATTTGCAGAAAAATATTTTAAAAATATATATATATATATTGGTCTCATTCCCATCACAATTGAGATTTTTTGTGAACTTGTCGTGGTATTTCTTTTGGACATTTCGAAATTTGTCGGCAATTTCAATATCAGCGATACATTTAAATCCATTCAAGTTCAAAGAAAACTAACTTTTATTGCTGAAGAAAGGAAAATGCAATAAGTAAACCGGTTCACGGCTCGAAATGTTCTGACTTATCCTGAGTTTCGCCTGAAAAAAATTAACCCGAAAATTTGTCATCCGCCCATAGTAAAACTATGGAAACCAAGAGTGAAAAGTGGCCGGTTTGGGGAAAATGAAACTCATGATAAGGCTGATTAAAATTCTGCAGGCAACAATTTGTTCCTAACGTACCTTAAATCAAAAATCTTATTCTTTCAAGTAATAAAAAGACAATTAGAAATGCAATTATGTATGTTATTATTATTGTTATAAATAGAAATACATATGCTGAATGAAATGTAATTTCCTTAATGTAATTTATCTTATTAAAGACTATTAACTACTCAAGCAGTTTTATGAATAATAATGCTTTTTAAAATGGCCAAATTTAAAATCTGGCAATGTGACCTGTAAAGTATATAGCATGGGGATCACGAATGACGAACACGAACGGATGGTCGGCAATGAAGGTTTTAGGATCCCATGGCAATGACATTGGCACGCCCACTGCAACTGTAGGAAAAAAGAGGCAGCCAAGCAAAGAAAATAAAAATTTAGAATTCTCAACTCTTTGCAAGCGTTCGTTGTACTACAACTTACCGCTGGCAGCTGCGGCTTCGCAACCGATTTCATTCACATCAATAAAAGCCTTGTGTTGAACACGAGACACACGCGTGCTGATCGGCGAGTTGTGGAAAATGTTGCTGAAGTCCGCCTCATCCGTGAACATGGTTCTAATGCCAAGCTGTTGGTTGGTAAAGAGAAAGTAATAAAAAATATATGTATATTAAACATTTAGCCAAACTTCGACTCTATGCACACCTTCAGCAAGTACGGCTTCAAATCGGTATCGAATTCGAATTTGAATTTAGGCAAATTCACTGTTACACTGCTCCATTCCCAACGTTTTTCCAGCGCATCGAAATCCACTCCTTTCAGCTGTTGTTCCAATTCGTAGAGACCATTGCGATTGTTCGGCAATATGAACCACATACGCAGATCGGTATTCTCAAAGAAGAGCTCAATCGCCTTGGCATTCAGTTCTTCATATTCGGCATAGTTGTACCAGTTGTCAGCGAACATGGTGGGCACTTTCACTGTTTCATTGTCGTTGATCCAGAATAAACGGTCGGACGTCTCATCGTCCATGAACGGACGCGCCCATTTTGCCTTGAAGTAGATGGCATTAACAAGCGCCACATTAATATCTGGCTCCACACTATCCAAAACGCGCTCAATCTTGCCGTTCGTCTTTTCAGCGAGCCACTTGTTGATCAACTCCACAGCTTTCGGCTCATCAGTAAAGTCCAATTGCTCTGCATCGGAGTCGAAGTACTTCCGTGCGGCTTCACGGAATTCTGGCTCAATGACGAGCGCATCCTTGGCGTAAATCTTGTTGGCTATCTCCAATGTGGTTTTCGGTTTCACAAAGGAATGCAGCAATTTGTAATAGCTCTTGGCAATGGTGCTACGACTCTGCGACTGCGCGTGTAAGCTCTTCTGCAGCTCGGTGGCAGTCTTGCCATCGGCGCCGTAGTAGGCCAAACCAAGCGCAGTTTGTATAGCGACCGGCGATATGATCACATTCTCGTGCTGCTTATCGACGGCGATGGTTTGAAAGAGTTCAGTGGCAAAGAGATTGCGATCCTGTATAGCATTGGCAGCAACATCGCGGGCCAACAGTGTGTTTAATACAAAAAGGACAACTAAAAAAGATTTTGTAGTTTCGATTACACTTTTATTTACAGCACAGTCTAAATATACGATACACACCTGTGCACCACTTCATGATTACAGCGCTATGGTGTTTTCTTCTACTATAAGCCGTAAGATATTCTACTTTTGTACTCTCCAGAACAAAACTCACTGCAAGACTAAAACTGGGAATGCCGGGATAGCTTCAATTTATACTGAACTAGCTAGATGGGCGAAAGCAACCGAACAAAACAAGCCGAGGTAATAAGTAAGGTGATAAAAGAAAGCCGATTAGCATATTTGTTGGGCTGTAAGTACAAAAGAAACCATCCGTTTTAGCTTCTGGTATGACCACGACCAAAACAATACCAAAGCAAATGCAGAAAGGAAAGAGATCTTCAAATCAAACTGGCCAACGAGCAAAGAAACGATAACCGAGAACAGTGTGGAAGTAAAGGCACGTAAGAGCGTATAAAGTGGTCGTAAAGTGGCAAGCAGCGATCAGTGGCTAGCGATCAACTACCATCTTCAATGGGCGCTCAACTTCGCGAAGGTAAGAACGGATATGATACCTTGAAAGGCATAGTAAATTATGCCCACTGAGCGATATGAAGCAACGAAGAGTATTATTGTGTTTTATCGTTCGAGTGTATTCATGTTTTAAGAGTTCATATGTATGTATGTACATATCAGCACCTCTGCAGGTTTGCGCATAAACAACTTGCAAACTCTCATTTGTTCGACATAAAAAATTTATAAATGAGTACCTACGCACATTTTATGCTATTAAACATTATTAAATTTGAAGCATCGCACAGTGGACTGCGAGTGCCCGAAAATCTAGTCAAATTCTAAGAGATCCCACTACGTATCTACCTAGATTACTAACCAATTTTACGGCGTTTTTCCGAGAGAAATCGAACCACATAACTGTAGTTTGGATCATACAGTGCACATCTTTGTTTAAAATCACACAGTCCGGAACTGGGTAGAAACTCATTAAAGGGGAAAGTGAGTTAATTTGGTCCTATTATGTTTTGCACGCTTTCACACATTTTGAATATTTGCATATTTTTGTATACATTTTGGATATATTTTTATATATTTTATATATTTACTTTAAATAAAGTATTATAAGCACACCACACTGAGGACCGAGCTTGTTAGCTCCGTACGTGACATATTGACCTCCTCTGCTGGAATTCTTATGACCCGCTGCGGCAGGCCAATTTACCAGTACAGAATGTACTCCATGCCGTAGAGCAGAATTGCACATGCTATCGAAGGTGGCATTGGCGAATTCTAGCATTGCCAATTCTGACGAAAAGATTTGATAAATCCGTCTCACAGGATTTCCCCGCCTGATGGGCATGTTGATGCAAATACAGAGGATGTGATGCAAGCGCCACTCAACCAATACGCAACTCCGCCATCATGACTCTTAAGTGAACCCAGCTTTGTGGTTAGGTCTTTCTTCAGAACTTTTATCAGTTTGACCCAAGGTTTCAATCCCATTGCAGTATTCTTTAAAATAGGCCCTCTTCGCAGAGCGAATCAGCCTCTTATACTCTCTTTGCGTGCAGCGATAGCGTTCCCAGTCTATCTCAAAACTGGTTTTGAGGGCCCGGGTTAGAAGTTTACTCGACTAACCCCTCAACTTGGGAAACTCCTTGGTCCACCAGGGAACAAGCGTACGGCTAATAGGTGGACGAGACAGACAAGCCTTATCCAAACTGGCACGAAGGGCAGCGGTTAAATTAACCACCGCTTCATGAATGGCTTGAGTGGATCGTCTTCTAGGTGGAAACGTGGTATGGTTCCCATGATCCTCCTTTAAATACGGCCAGTCCATTTATTTCATGTTTTGCATTGGTGCAGAGGAAATAGCGTCGTCGCGAAGTTGAAACCCGATGTACCTGCGGTCCCAGGACTCTCCAGTTTAGGACTAACCAACTTAACGTAGAGTGAGATAGAGTATGATCAATCACTTCCTATCTTCTGGGCGTAACAAATGTTGGCTTAGTGCCACTTTCAAGATACTTACTCGACAGAAGAAGCCAATCTGACACTATAAGACACTATAAGGTGTCCTCTCGATTAGACCGAGTTTTCGTCGTATAGCATGATGGCATCACGTAACCCACTCAGTCCACAGGGTTGTTGTTTGAACATCCAGGCTCCCTGAATGGCTTTATGTGGCTGTTTCCGTACCTTTATCTGAGGGTATCCATAGAGTCCATCTTCACAACCAGAGTAGCACCTCCTCTGTCTTCCCAGTTGCTACCACACACAAGTTCTTGGTGTCAACCCCCGGATCGGAGATTGTAATCCAGGAGAGCGCTTTCCTGAGATGGCCAGACTTCACTGTTTACAGTGCGCGGTATTCTTTGCACCACAGCCTTGAGCCAACCACGGTTAGATTGGGAAAGTCATTTCGCCACAATGATTCCATCCCTCTCCTCATACCCACGAGCATTGACTGCAGTGGCGGAGGCAATGTCGGCCGGGATCAGATGGCTCTTGTAGTGTTTAATTTCTTTAGGAGTCATTTGCCCAACCGAACCCGCGCTCCCCATTACGGCAATGAGCGGAGGGATTTTTACGGTCCTGACGTTGTTGGAAGGCTTCGATGCTTCGAGGGCAGTTCTGCCCCGACTGACCCTTGCATCACTTCTACCCCTGATTTTAGGCAAGGGTTTCGGTTAGTGCTCTGTCTAGCTGATACCGCCCTCTTCTTCCGCAACATGAGTGGTTATGCGACTTTTTTTAAGCACAGTAGTTAAGGGCTAGATATACACACAAAAATTTAGAATTTCCCAGTAATTATGGAAAATTAAAATAAAGAATTTTCCGATGTTTCTGTTCGACTTTTTTAGCGGTGTATATTAAAAGTTTGCGTCATGTGAAAAACTTATATTTTATCGAGTTCTTTCAAATAATGAAAATTAAAGAACGTTTAAAAAACTAAATTATGCCGAAAAACGAAAATAGCAACGCCTTTAAGTCCCGAAATTTTTAATACGTGCTCACCTTCAGATCAAAATTCTGATTGTTAATAAAAATTATTAAATATTGGTGTTTCAGTGTATACATTTTTCTTTTAATATTTTTTAGGAAATTTTACTTCGTTTTCGTTTACTATTTTATTTCTAAATTGTTACTTAAGATATTAATGAATTTTCACAGACACAATAAATGCACATTATTTAAAATGCCATCCAAGGAATTTAAGTTTATGCTTCACTTGAGAGTTTCATTTAATCCTTGATAACCTTGAGTGATTTCCCAACATCAATGAAGGCTGCTACTGCATGGTCAATGTCATCCGTTGTGTGCGCTGCGGATATTTGCACCCGAATACGCGCCTTGCCCTTAGGTACGACCGGATAACTGAATCCAATGACATAAATGCCGCGCGCTGTGGAGCAATGAGTTAGAAGTTATTTTATTAATCTCTAATTTATTTTCTTATTTCAATTGTACTCACACAACATTTGATCGGCAAAAATTGAGGCGAGTCGTGCATCGCCTAACATCACAGGGCAAATGGGATGATTTTCCCCAGCGATGATGAATCCGGCCTTATTCATTGCATCGCGAAAACGCTTAGTGTTGCTTTGAACACGTTGTGACAACTGATCAGAGTCCATTAGCATTTCCAAAACTTTGATGCCCGTGGCCACCACTGGCGGCGGCAGGGAGTTCGAGAAGAGATAGGGTCGCGATTTCTGACGCAGCAGTTTAATTAGCTCTTTGGGGCCTGTGGTGTAACCACCAGCGGCACCACCAAGCGCTTTACCCAATGTCGAATTGATAATATCGACGCGTCCTAACAGATTGTAGTACTCCTCAGTGCCGCGTCCAGTGGCGCCAAAGAAACCAGTCGCATGACATTCGTCTATAAAGACCAGCGCATCATATTTGCCGGCGAGATCGATGATTTTCGGCAGTGGCGCAATATTGCCGTCCATTGAGAAAACACCATCGGTGACAATGAGTTTGAGGCGAGCCGATGATGATTGCAGTTGTTTTTCGAGGTCTGTAATTAATGGAGATAAAATAGTGTAAACCAACAATTCACGAATCATCTTCTTACCATCCATGTCGCGATGCTTATAGCGTTGCTTCTGCGCCTTGCACAAACGTATGCCGTCGATAATGGAGGCGTGATTCAGCTCATCGGAGAAAACAGCATCATCTGGTGTGAGTATTGCTTCAAAGATGCCAGCATTTGCATCGAAGCAAGATGCATACAAGATCGCATCCTCCCGTCCATGAAACTGTGCGATTTTCTTCTCCAGTTCTTTGTGTATCGACTGTGTGCCGCAAATGAAGCGTACCGAACTCAATCCGGCGCCATATTTATCAAGCAGATCTTTGCTGTAGTTCACCACTTCGGGATTGTTCTGGGAAGTATATTTATCGAGATCATATACATA